CACCCCCACCTCCAAATAAGAAACGAGTCCTTAATCACATGAGTATCTTCACTGACATTACAAAATATTGATATAGAATTTTGCATGTTACAATATATACTCAAGTAGTATGCCCAAGATGGCTCAGCTGGTGAGGGGAGCTTACAGGACAAAAAGTTAAGTCTGCTGGCCAACATTCATGTACCTCTGTAGATAGAAGAAAGATGGAGTGGTGATTCCATTGCCCAGGCAGCCCCTTACCAGCTTAGGGAATTGAAGTTCCTGTCGGTTTTGTGCCCTGCCTTGAGGAAGGTGTGTGGCCTTAGGTAAGTCACTTTAGCCCTCTGAGTCTGCTTCCTCAAGTGTAAATTAAAGAAACCTCAAAGATTCCTATTAACTGAAAGCTGACACATCTACAGTATGAAACCTCAGGATAAGGCCAATCCAATTTTCAGTGTTCTATCCCAGGACATTATATTGTCTGATGAATTGGGTCCTTCTTCATGTTCAGTGAAGAGATTTCAGGTTGCCAGAATTAGCCACTGAGCCACTGAGAACTTTAGGATAGATAAATGTGTTTCTGGCAAATTTAAGTTCATTATATAGACTTATGTTGAGAAAATATGTAGGAAAAATAGGAAATGCTTTGAAAAAGATTACCCATGCTACCTCTCTGCAAAGTATCATTCTTGTTAACCAGCTTCAAACTACTCAGGGAAGTCAGTGAATATAGAGAACCAAAAAGCAAGCACTTTTTCCAGTGAAGAAAACTCTGGGAGATGCTCCCTTAATCCTGGCTTAAAAAAATCATTTCCTTATATCCTATCAGTGATAAGTAACTACTCAATTATGATTACTGGTAAAAATTATGGATCCACATGCTAGCAGACCAAGAAGAGAGGACTCAAACCTTTGCAGGAAGACAATGCAATTCTAAAAGTTACCCTCTACCTCTTTGATGATTACAGAATTACTGTTAGTGCAAGAATGAAGCATATTCATTTTGTCATGGTAATTTTTTATCTTGAGGAAAATACTTAAAACATTAATAAAAAATATTTATCTGAAATGGTTGTCTTTATCTTATGATCTACACCATCTTACATCAGGCTTCATGGGGAGAAGGTTGGGGCCTCTTAGCCTCTTGGCACTGTGGCTGCGTCTGGAGTCTCATTCATTATTAACATAAACAGTTGACACCTGTCACTGAGGCAAAATATACTTGAGAAAGGAGGAAGCCTAAGCAGATAAATAATGTTGCTTTTCTTGGTATGATACATAACACACACATGCATACACACATGTGCCTACATACACACACACACACAACACAACATACACACAAATTTGTAGGACATATCTACTAAATGCCTCTCTCTCTCTCTCTTACCTCCAACTGCATTAATTCCTTTCTATCTTTTTCCTTAGCATGAGAAGGGAAACATAACTTTAAATTCCAGTACCATACAAAGAGACCATATAAATATCATATATAATGCATCTCCAGATTTGCATTTGAAATTTGGTTATTAGGTGTGTGACAGACTGAAAGCATTTTAGGTGTAAGGACAAGAAATAATGATGGTCTAAGTACATGCTTTATTTTATCAGAGGGAAGAATGTGATTTTACTAAATAGTCACTGCTTAACCTACCACAGTTTACTGCCTTCAGACATCATTGCTTCTAACTACTGGATAAAAGCATGATATTTTTGGGGCGCCTGGGTGGCTCAGTCAGTTGAGCCTCCGACTTCGGCTCATGATCTTACAGTCCGTGAGTTCGAGCCCCGGGTCAGGCTCTGTGGGACAGCTCAGAGCCTGGAGCCTGCTTCGGATTCTGTGTCTCCCTCTCTCTCTGACCCTCCCCCATTCATGCTCTGTCTCTCTCTGTCTCAAAAATAAATAAACATTAAAAAAATTTTTTTAAAAAGCATGATATTTTTTTATGCCAAATCTCACAGAACTAACTGTTGCATTTTTGCTCAAGAGTCCACCTTGTTCTTTTTATAGATCAGTGGAGTAGGCTGCCTTATTGGAATGGACTATAAGCACAGAGAAAAATGTAAAATGGCTGTATCACTAATCAGGAAGAGTTCTGGTAAGAGTCTGACTGTAGACATAAGAATATGGTCTATCCAAGATCACTATTTTATATAAGCAAGAAGTTTTCTTAAGATAGTAAATGTGCTTGCTACATGTGCTGTTTTTGTAAGAAAAAAAAAAGGGCAAGGGCACCTCTGTGGCTCAGTTGGTGAAGTATCCAACTTCGGCTCAGGTCATGATCTCATGGTCTGTGGGTTCGAGCCCTGTGTGGGGATCTGTGCTGACAGCTTGGAGCCTGGAGCCTGTTTCAGAGTCTGTGTCTCCCTCTCTCTCTGACCCTCCCCTGTTCATACTCTCTCTCTCTCTCTCTCTCAAAAATAAATAAACATTAAAAAAAAAAAAGAGCAATGATTGGACAAGAATTTTTCCTTCCCTGATAGAGGTGAAGATAGCCTATGACCCAGCATATCATTCTCAAGATATAGACACTACAAAAACTCCTGTATGTGTGCACTAGAGACATGTACGAGAATGTCCCTGGCAGTTACGTATGTAAAAGCAAAACACGGAACCCAAATGTCCATCAACACTATAGTGGATAAGTAAAGTGAGGTTTATTCATACAGTGGAATACTTGGCAGCAGTGAAACTAAATGAATGAATTACAAACTCCTATGACTCAGGAACATACGTTGAATGAAAAAACAAGCCACAGAAGAATACATACAATATAATTTAATTTCTATAAATTTCAGAGAAACACAAGACATAATGACATATTTGGCATGGAGTCAAACATATGCAATGAACCTACACAGAAAAGCAAAAGAGTGTTAAATTCAAATTAGGACAGTGGTTACCTCAGCAGGGAAAGTAAAGGAGAAAGTACTAGAGAAGATCAGTACAAGGATTCAAAAGTAATCATCCTGTTCTTTTCTTAAACTGGGTAGTGGGTGTTCACTGCATCATGTTTTGTTATACCTTAACATACGGCTAATGAACCAGCTTTTTAAAATGGTGTAAAAAAAATAAAATGGTGTAATTTTTTGATTCCTTTTGCTTCCTCAGAATTTGACTTCACGGTTCAAAGCTAAGAGCAGAATAACATAAATCCATACCAAATTTAGTACTATGATTTGGGGTAGGAACCAACCCATCACCCCTTGACATCTAATCTCACATGATGGCTTGGTAACAAAGGATTGGTAATGAATGATTTTTCTGCATAGCAAGGCTTGTAGTTTGTTCAACTATTACTGATGTCAATAAGAGGCTACTGAGAGCATTCCTTCATAAAATTGTGTTTAGACATCTGTTCTTCAGTATTTTCTCTCTAAAAGCAAGGAAGAAAGAAACATGGCCAAAGGCAAAACTTCATCGAATTAGTCCTAGCCCAATCATAATGCTAAAGTATACAAATATTGAGCTCTATCAATCATTTCTGCTCTGCTAATCACAGAACCAAGGTGGTGTTATTCTCCCTCAAAGGAGGACAACTAAAGGAGCTTTGGGCTGTGTACTTCCCCGAGGAAGGTAACTCAAAGCTCAGAAATAACGCATCAGAACTGAAGAGACCTAGAGGGTGGTCAGCATGGGGACAGCTCAGGGGGAGCATGCTGCAGAGACACCCAACCCAGACTGGGAGTTCATGAAAGGATTTGCAAGGTAGGAGCAGCTGAACTCTATGCTTAAGAATTAATAGACACTACTAGAGGACATAGCCTGGGGGAAGAAAGCTCCAGGCAGCTACAGAGAGGTGCTGAGTTTTGGGGAATCTAAAATCTCCCTGCAGAGATCTGAAAAGATGACATGACTAAAGTTCTAAGTTTGGTTTAGACTGAAGCCCCCTGCCACATCGTGACCCACCCCAGATGTGGGACAGCACAGGGCAAGGCTGAGGGGGAGGGCTCTGGAGTCCAGAGACTGAGACTGAATCCCTGTCTGTCTCCAGAGTCATCAACCAGCTCTCATTTCAGCTAAATGTTCAGTTCTTATTGCTAATGTATCCTCCGTGCTGTAGCCACCGAAGTGGTGTGATCTTCCTAAAATACAACTCCTGTGTCTCCCTGATTAAAAACTCAACTACTGATTCCCCGTTGCCCAGGATAAATACTCAAACTTCTTAATGCAGCTTTCAGATTGGAGCAATCTGGCCCCTGCTTCCCTCTCCAGCCTCATCTACCTGGTGCTTCAGCAGCATTAACCCGCCTCAGCCCCCAGCCCCCAACCCCCCAGCACCCCCATCCCCCGGGCCCCATGCTCTCTCAGCTTTGCCTAGAACACATCTCCACCTAAAACTCCTGCTACTCTTTAGATCTTCACTTGGCAATATAGAATAGGAAACGTGTAATTTATTGAATACACACACACACGCACACACAAAGATATTTTATAAGTTCGTGTAAATTTGTCTGTATGATACTGTAGATACTTAGAATTTAAACACCTGCAAGTCTAGGTTGCTTTAATATATTCTGTATATAGCAAAATGTGCCTTCAAAATTAACATTAAACAATAACAAACCAATTTACCATTTCTTGGGAGCAATTTTTTAAAACATGGTAATTGTTCTAGCATCTGTTGGGAAATAACTATGTTATATCCACATTTTTATTAATAACTATTTCATAGTTTAATATAAACTATCTTTAATATAAAGTGTTCATGAATTAATGCATGGGTACATGCAATATAATATGTACCCAATTGTAAAGAGCATCAAAGTAATACATAATAGATAGCCATTTTGCCACAAATCAGAGTAGAGAGAGATTTTTCTGTTACTCAACAGTAGACAATGCTAAAAATCTGATCACAGGGGAAAGACGCAAAAAAAAAAAAAAAAAAAAAAAAAAACCTGCCAGTAAACTCAGGGGTGACTGTGATGTATACAATGTCCCTTTTTTGCTTCAACCAGCAAACCATCACCAGTGTGACAACTGAACCTTAAGAGTGCAACCAGAGAATTCCTCTTACCTCGGCATCAAAGCGAGGATCCTGGTAGGCATCGCTGATGTTCACCGGGAGGCCTGTGGAAGCCACTAGCTCAGCAACACTGTTATTTATAAGCCAGTCGGAATATGAGGATTTCTCCATGCTCTCTTTGAAACTATCAAAACCAAAGAAGGCAGTAAGAAAACAGAGAAACATAAGTTTGTTTGAAAGCAAATCTTATAAAACTATACTCATAGTAGGATTATCTATCCTCCTTAAGAAGGGATAAGTGACTTCAGTCACAGAATAGCAGGGTAATTATCAGTAGCTACTTCAAAGAACCTTGCCCGGGATGAACACTGGGTGTTGTATGGAAACCAATTTGACAATAAATTTCATATATTAAAAAAAAAACAACCTTGCCCACTGTAATGTAAAATAATCAAATCCATGGGAAGACATAATAGATTCTCCATGACCCAGAAGAACAACTCTAGGCTTTATTTAGGCCAAAGCAGACAGACATAAAGTAAATAGTCAAGTAAGGACCAAACCTGACTTGAGGATGCAAAAACCCTGGAATAATAAATTCCCCTGCCCTCCCCGGCCCACACCCCTTAACTAAGTGGACTGGACGTGTGATATCAGGAAAAATTAAATCCCAGAATGGAGAAAAATCAGGAAATAAGTTGAGAATTTACAAAATTGTAAGTGCAGCAAAAGAGCAGGTCTAGACCATGGGTAATCTTAGTACTTATGTAAAGGTTTTTGTAGCATGTCTCAGAGTTTCTTAACAAAAGCACATTTCTACTTAACAAAATCTTGCTGGAAAACCTGTTTTAATTCTACTGACCCCTAACAGGAATAATTTAAATTATATCCATATTTGATTTCAACAGGAATTTTATGCTAAATGATTTTGTGAACTTTCCCTTGTATCACTTTCACTATAATTGCCAAATTTACAGAAATGCCATAAGAATTAGTAAGATTCCCTACTCCCTCTCTCCTGTCCATCATTTCTTCCCCCAAATACATACTGAGCACTTCCAGGAGCTATGGAATTGCAAAACTGAGTACTGTTCAAATTAGCAATATCAAGGAAAATTTGCACGGAGAATATTAGATTTGTGGCTTTGCAGGTGATAACTGAAATTACATAAATGAATGCCGGTATACCAGGGCAATGTTTTCCCAGCTTGGTTCTGTGGAACCCTGGGTTCCAGGATATGTGAGTGAGTGTACCACAATGAGAATAATAAGAATTCTACTGACTTTTTAATCTAAACTACCTTATATGGAAGGAAAACACTAAGCCCTGTAAATAGTCATTGTTACTATGCAGTAATGTGCCTGCATGGAATTTGGGCCCTACCAAGAATTTGTGGCATGGAGAGGCCACCAGATGCTTGAGGAAGTGGCAAGCACAGAAGTTCTTTAGCAACATTAATAGGTGCCATCTGTGATGACGGCTGGTCTGTGTCTGATAAATGTAACATGTATTTGTGATGATATTCATCCCTTATTGCATATCAAACATTACTAACACACACGTTTATTCCCTGTGAATCTCTGGCTGTGAGAAGTGGAAGTTTTAATGAAAAGCTGGGTCTTATATTTCTCATATGGTGCCTAAATCAAAGAAACGAAAAGACTGAGGACTTCAAAGATAAGATGAAGCCCTTATTTCCTAAAACAAACAAAGGAGCATCAACAAAGTCCATGTTTTATTTTCTTTGCTCTATTATACCTGTGAGAAGGGAAATTTTATGTTGTGCTGCAATGAAAACAAAATATAGGAGGAAACATGATAATGTACCTGATATGAGGTTCCAACTTAATGAAGCCATTTCTAAGTTTATAAAAGTGTGTGACTGAATGCTTCTCATTTCTTACAGCGATTAGTTGGTCTATGAACTCACTCTGAACTATCTGGGTACTTTATTCCATTCTACAGTTTTTAAAAGCGTTCTGTGATAAAATAGTGTGGAAAGTGCTGACCTGGAGTGCCCTGGGCAGAAGGGGTGCAATGGGACCCTGGGGATGAGCCACAGAAGAACCAGAAAGAAGAATGGTTGGGGCAGGCAAAGGGGCCAGTGGTGAATGCTCTAAGGAAGGAACCAGTTTCATCAAGTGTGAAAACCTGTAAGCTGGGTCTTCCAGGATGAGGAGGAAAGCGCCCGAGGAGGAGGAAACAGCAAGAAGAAAGATACGAAGGGAAAAGAGTACAGTAAGTACAGTAACACTGAGTAATCCCTTAAATGAATAGGTCAGGGCTTAAAGGTGGAGGCTTTGACCAACGGGCTTCAAACTTAGTCACAGGCAATGGCAAGCTGTTGGAGAGTACTGAGCAGGGAAGTGACATGATTTGAGATGTGACTTCAGAAAGCTTCAGGAAGCTTAATCCAGGAAGCTTAAACAAGGAGCAAGAAAAACTGACTGAGAGAGATGGAAGGTAGACCAGCGAAGTTGTGCCGATGGGAGGTGATGATGCTGGCCCCTCAGGAGATCCTGCAGAAGACTCCGCAGGGCTTGGTGGGCAGACAGCTTGGCTTACGTTCTGCTTGTGTGTGTCTGTGGCACTATTAGAAGTGAGTTGGTTTGAGAAGTGGGAGATGGGGAACAATAACAGACCTTTTGTGAACCTGCAACATGTTACTCATTGTTGAAACTCCAGGAACAAAACCCATATAAGATCCTCAGGACTGGAAATACTATAGAGTTGGGATTATCTTCGAGGAGAATACAATGGATGAGATTGACCAGGGAGAGAATATGCGGGAAAATCTGTATCTAGGGGAAGGAAGAAGAAGAAAGGCAGTAATAAAAGTGGAGGGGAGAGAGAAGAAAGAAAAAGGAGGAAAGCAAATTTATCATCACCCGAGTAGGCTAACGGCCTTGCTGGATGCTTTACCTAATTAATTTGTTTTGTTTTCACATAAATCTATGAGATGGGTACAATTCTCTACATTTTACAGATCAGAAAACTGAGGTTCAGAGATGCTAAATCATTTTCCTAAGTGGAGATAGAATTTTCAGCTAAGCATGACTACAGAGCCTCAGATTATTCTGTTTATCCTGTCGCCTCTCAGGGAAGGAGTCAATGGGTAGGAGTTGAGCAAGAATAGTAGGTTGTCACCTAAAGAAAAGAAGGGGGTGGCAGTCAGCATCACGGGGAGTTTAAAGGAGACACTGCAGATCATAAACACTTGAGTCTGAGACTACATGCAGTCAAAGGAAGAGGGAGGAAAAGACATTGGCTTTGATCATCCAGAGCTGTAGGTCACTGCTTAACAAAATTCCCAAGGAAGATGTTGAAAACTTACTGAGCAGGGGCTCCTGAAAGACTCATCCTAAACCTAAAACATGCTTAGAACTGGGGTTAGTTTGGGCTGCATATGTATTGCAATCACTCTAAAATTATAGGACAACATGGGGTGTCTGGGTGGCTCAGTTGGTTCAGCATCTGACTCTGGATTTTGGCTCAGGTCGTGATCTCATGGTTTGTGAGATCAAGCCCCAGGCATGGAGCTTGTTTGGGATTCTCTCCCCCTTTCTCTGCTCCTCTACCACTCATGCTTTCCCTCTCTAAATAAATAAATACATACATAAATAAATAAACAAACAAACATTTAAAATTGTAGGTCAGGGGCGCCTGGGTAGCTCAGTTGGTTAAGCATCCGACTTTGGCTCAGATCATAATCTCATGGTTCATGAGTTGGAGTCCCTCATCGGACTTTCTGCTGTCAGCACAGCAGACTCTCTCCGCCCTTCCCCACTCTCTCTCTCTCAAAAATAAATAAACATTTTAAAGAATAAAATAAAATTGTAGGACAATGTAAATGGGTCAATTCTGTGCAAGGCACTCTGCATAAACAAAGTTGAGGTGGTTTCTAGAAAATATAAACTATGGTCTCTGGCCTTACAGAGGTTGCCATCTACTTGGGGAAATGAGAAATAAACATACTGACATTTGCACAATGCACAATTTAAATGCCCAGTTCAAATTTCAAATGACAGGGGCGCCTGGGTGTCTCAGCTGGTTAAGTGTCTGACTTTGGCTCCGCTCATCTCATGGATCCTGGGTTCAAGGCCCACGTTGGGCTCTGTGCTGACAGCTCAGAGCCTGGAGCCCACTTCGGATTCTGTGTCTCACTCTCTCTGATCCTCCCACACTCACACTCTCTCTCTCTTTCTCTCTCTCTCAAATATAAATAAACATTTAAAAAAATTTGTTTTAAACCCACAAATTTCTTTTTTTTAATTTATTTTTTATTTTTTTTTTAACGTTTATTTATTTTTGAGACAGAGAGAGACAGAGCATGAACGGGGCAGGGGCAGAGAGAGAGGGAGACACAGAATCAGAAGCAGGCTCCAGGCTCTGAGCCATCAGCTCAGAGCCCGATGCGGGGCTCGAACCCACGGACCGCGAGATCGTGACCTGAGCTGAAGTCGGACGCTTAACCGACTGAGCCACCCAGGTGCCCCTAAACCCACAAATTTCAAATGACAAATTTGTCACATGGCTGTGTCGACTAGTTGCCAAGTCAACTGTACCAGTCATAAATGCAAACGAAATGCAAAAGAAGTGAAGGGAGGAAGAAACCACCTCAGCCGCTATAATCGAACTAAGGCTCCAGAGGGGAGGGGAGATTTTAATCAACCTATAGCTGCAACAGTGCGAACAGATTTTCTGAAAACCACCTCTCCATTTCTTCAGTTTAATGTTACACAGGTACATAAACTGAGGTGCAGGGCGACAGAATAAACTAAGGTGCAGGGCTCAGAGAGACAGTCAGGAAGGATGATTGTCACTCAGTAATTATATCACATTCTGGCTTTTACACCAATTCAACCTTCCAAATCAACCTTCCAAATCTTAAGTTTTTACTGTAATACAGAATCATGATGTTGAGTTAGAGCTCTCAAAACCTTGCTTTTTAAGATTTATTAAAAACATTTTTTTAATGTTTATTTATTTTTGAGAGAGAGATTGAGACAGAGCATGGGCAGGAGAGGGGCAGAGACAAAGGAGACACAGAATCTGAAGCAGGCTCCAGGCTCTGAACTGTCAGCACAGAGACCAACACGGGGCTCTAACTCATGAACCGTGAGATTATGACCTAACTCATGAACCGAAGTCTGACACTTAACTGACTGAGCCACCCAGGTGCC